TACTTCAAACAGCACGCACATGCTTGAGACATAATAATAAGAGGACGTTTCTAACGTCTAGATTCGATTTCTTGTTTTCATTGTAGCAAATTGTGTTGCTGGAAGGAACATCGAAAGACATTTATGTTATGACTTAAATATGAAAACCCCCCACTAAAAAACAAACAAACCACCAAACAAACAGACACCCAAAAAATATTCATGAACTTAAGGATTTTAATCATAGTTGTATTGAGAAAAAAAAAGAGACAAAATATTCCTGTAGTGAGTCAATAGACTGTTTATCTTGTTACGGTTGTATCTTGTCACATGTTACGTTTATAACCTGTCATACAATGAGGATCGTTTTCAAAGGCACAATTTTGAAGTAACTATATCTTTGTTTTGTTTTCAACATTTGTGTTTTATGAGTTATGTGGCGAGTTTGAAAAAAATAGATTTTTAAAGAAAAACATGTGGTGTTTATATTGCCGAACGAATATTCTTAAATAGTGGAATAGTTCAGTAAGTAGACCAATTTATTATTAGCTGCTGATTAGTAAGGCAGAACAAGGCCACTCGTCTTAAAGAGAAATGTTCGTAGGAATGAGGCTGCAATTTTGATAAATTAGTTATTATTTGGAAAGAAAGACGGTGATTTGAAAACCGAATACTCCAAAAAAGTGAAATAGTAACAAAAACCCGGTGTGAGGCTACTGAATTAGGACGCATAGTAGGAAGAAAGTTTCCGGCTTGTGTAATTGAATTAGCGTGTATGATAGTAGCAAAGTTCCATTCGAATGTTATTGACTTGTACGTCTGGTACGGCGCCAGCGGCCTCGTCGTCGTTGTCCTTGTTCTCCGTGTCGAAGAGCAAAAACTCATGGCTCACGTTCATGTCACGTACGTTCTGACACTGTCCACCGCGACGATACAGGTAAAAGGGATGATTTGTGGGTAGGGAGATCTCGTCTTCGGGAGAGCCGTCATCTCGGCAACAGTAGTGCATCGTGAGATGGGAACTGAAATTACTGTCAGGAACAGCACCAGTTTGATTTGCTTTAGTATTGCCGTCTTCGTAATCCCACCGAAGCCACCCATTCTGAAACCCTGCGGGACATTCTCCCTTCTTGTTGATGCAGTAGGATCCCTTCGGCCAGTTAGGACCGAACGTGAGAACGGATGTCTTCACGCAGAAATGCTGAGTCACAAAATTATTCCCGTTTTCTCGCGAGAGAACTGGATTTTTCAAATGGTTGGACTCTGAGACTTCATCTTCGTTTCTCTGTGTGGACTCTGTGTGGACACGAATAGAACCCTTGGCCCATGTGCTTATATAGTCGACAGGGCAACCAGAGGTGGGCTCGAGCAAGGCGTAACTACCAAAAGGCCAGTGTTGAAGAAGGCCAGTTTCAATAATTTTTTGATATTGTGATTCGATCTTGGCAAGAGTCACGGTGTGATCGGCCAGATTTTGCCTGACAGTCTCTTTAAGGTTTTGTACTTGTTCCTTCAGGGCGTTATTTTCTTCTTTTACTTTAGAGAGGATGTCTGCCGTCCCGATCTCCAGCATTTTTGAGAAGTCTGCTCCCTTTAGATTATTTCCGATTTCCAAAGTCGTCGATTTTTTAAGTTCTGCCGACTGGAGATAAAGAAATACAAGATTTATGTGTATCATGGGCTAAGGTCTTTTTTAATGTAGATGTTTTTACAAGTCTATCGACACATTCCTGACCAATTAGGAGGTAGACCTCGACCCTTCCCCTCAGGGCTAACCCACGTCCTAGCAGAAATACCCACATATTAGATAATACTTCTAACTACCACAGGAACTGAGCTCTGCAAAGAGCCTCACCATTACATAACAAACGCCAGTTTTTTACAATAACGATTTAAATTCAAATCAGAGGCTCCAGAGATACGGTGTTATTGTTCAGAAAATCCCAAGATTTGAAACCTGACAGCGATGAAAACATATATACATCTCTAAAATGTTTCCACTCCTGTTCTCTAATCGTGTACTGTCATCTTCTTCTATCTCCTTTTTCTCCCCACACCCCCGGCCTCCCCTAGGCTACTTAACTCTCTTCCGTACTCCTGACTCGTTCAATTGCTAGTCCGGGCTCCTTCTTACTGCTGTATTTCAGTCATGCCACTGATCTTAGGGTAGGTGAAATCGAACACTTTTCAGGCAAGGGCGAAAAATCTCAGAGGTCGCGTGTGCAAGCTGCGCACGTTAAAGATCCCTTGGTTGTCTTAAAATCGATAAGCGTAGGCTTCGACCGCCATCTGGGCTAAATTCAAAATTAATTCATACCGACCGAAACTGAAAATATTCTAGTCAGTTAAATCAAAGAGTACTATCAAAATCGGAACTTGGCTACCTGAAGAAGAAAAAACGACAACAAACGGGAAATTCAGTTGCACTGCACGTTGGAGAACAAGCAGTCGACTGACTGCCCCTGGGATCTAGCAGGGGAACGCAAAGACAAAGAAGTAAGTTAAACTAAAAAGTGAATGAATTCCCCTGAAAGGTGGGATTTCTGAGTTCCCAACCTGAATGACTTTTAAAAATAAGCTTCAAGTCTTCGTGTTTGTAGGTCAAGTTGACAACATATTGCGCCACCGCCGTCAACGCCTTGGATATAGGCAACAAATAAAATGTGTCACGACTTGTTGGAATCAGGCGCTCGTCAATTTTTGGGCATGTGGAGTTATTGGAATCAGCTTAAACCTTGTTCATTTATCTTGCCTCAGAAGGAAAAAATACCCATTTATCTTGAATAGAAATCGAGATATCCGCATTCGAAGGAGGTGATGGTCGCCTTGTTTCAGAGGTTAAATGAGCGAGAAAATGGCCGCAAAAGTTTGGTTATTTCCTTAACTTGAGAGCCCGTGGTAACGGAAAACTTGCATTTTTTGTGTGCTTTTAATCAACGTTTTTTAAAGTAAAAATCCACACAGAAATGTGTTTTTGAATAGTCATAAAAGATGTTGAGCCAAAAAACAGAAATTCGATAAAAATGACTAAACTGGCAAAAAAAGCCGATTTCTTCAATTTTATTATTTTAACGAGCGCCTGATTTCACCAAGATGCCTCACAAATAACCATGCCCATAATTTTAAGATTGGACTGAACAGCGGGTTAAAGCATATATTTTCCTCTTATTACTGTATAAGTACACCGGACCCTTGTTAGAAAAAAGTAGGTCATTTCGAAGGGTGCCAAACATTGTCGGGTTTACGGAATTGTAAACTAGTTGTACCGTACTCTCCGTTGACATCCGCTTTTGTTTGAAAAAGAAACGGCGCGGGGTTGCAACAAGCTATTTCTATTATGATAACTTTAGGGTCCTTTTTCGGGCTTGTATCTTGCGTACGCACACTATTTCTGTACCTCGGAAAGTACCTGTGAACGTAACAGTCTAATGGTTTGTACTATGTTTTTGAAGAATAATATACCTATTTTCGAGTTTTTTCCATTAAAAAAACCCCCTTCAAATATTTATGTCATCAGTACTTACGTCACCAAAAACGACCAACGCGTCACAAACGAACTTCCCGAGCGTCGACGGTGTTGCTGTGGACCATGTGACATCCAGATAAGTGGGCTTTCTTATGTCGCCATAGGCAATGACCCCGTCTTCAAAACTGGTGGCATTGGAATCTGTGTCCGTTTGTTGGGCTACCACTTCCCAGGCACTCTGCGTGGAAAGGCAGAAGGAGGGGGG